AACTTTTAAGATAAATATTTAAGAAACCATTTAAAAATAACATGATAATTATAAAATTACAAGAGATGTTTTCGCATAATGAAGACTAAGGATTGAATCTACTTATAATCTATGGAATTAAAGTAGTATAATGAACAATTTGAAATATGTATTTAAAAGTACTTCCATTGTAAATTCATTTGGTATTGTTTTGCTTGTATTTCCCCATTGAGTTTGAAGATTATTTGATCATACAGAATGATGCTGTTGGCAATATTTTCAAAATTCCCCCGAAATAGTACTATACTATTCATTAAAATTTAACTATTATTTTTTTATATCAGAAAGGTCTTTGTGGATAGTATAGTATATTCAGTGGTTGAGACCATAAGCCAATTAAAGCTAGACCATAATGGAAGACCCGAAAGCACTGAACGGCCGTTTCGTCCCATCGTGGGACTCCTCAGTAGTGGGCGTCCACGATCCTGCCTTGCAAGATTTGAACTCAGAACCTATCAGTCTCACACATGAGCGCCTAACCATTATACCATTGAGCCGGCCGCTACCCAACAGTGTTAATGTCTAACTTCAACCAATCCACGAAATTTAGCGACACATCCACCACTGTCATCAGTGAGTTAATATCTCACAACTGAGCCGGTTGAACTCCACTGGTCACTGCTTCTCAGTAGAACTCCAGGAAATATCTCTTGAAGCCAATCACTAGTGAGTATTCGTTGATTCATATCAGAAGGGAGTTCAACCGGGTCTGTTGTGACTTCATGGATTAGTGCCGTGTTTTATTCTGGCCACTCCTAGCTTTCTTCCAACCTACTCCTATACCATAAAACATTGCACGTCGGGGTAGTCATTAAAATTCAACTATTCTTTTTTTCATCTTTTATGAATATTGAAGTATTAACACATTCGCTAGTTTTATCCTTAAAATGTTACAAAATTTAGTGTTGACATTTAGATCACATAATAATCTTATAGTCTATGAATAGCACTCTTTTAGACATTTAACAATTATAAATTTTACTATACTATGATTCAGTTCACAATTATACGCCTGATATAGTATAAGCATTTGATGCCAATGACGTCGACTATAGTAAAATTTCTAATGAAAATATATTATTTAATGTATCATCATTTTTATTTATTTTAGTAATCAGTAAATTTAGTTTTGGTGATAAAGAAAGGAAACATCCTTCTTTTTTTGTATTTTTTCATCGTTGTTTTTCACATTTAATAAAACTATTAAAAACGGTTACGAAAAGAGTCTAGTTTAACTAATACTGACTGATTACATAATAGTTACAATAGTTAAACTCTATTTAATTTATTATTTTGAAAGTTATTATAATATCAAGTTTGTGGTAGACTGGAAATATATTTATATATATCTGACCATTTATATATTTTATAAACATCACAGTTAATGGACAGTAGTGTCATTAATAATTATAATAACAGTAATAGTACTAATAATAATAAGTAGATAAATATAACAACAACAAAAAATCACTCTTACTGAACCAGTTTAGTTCAACTGCATGCAACTAACTTTTGTTTTCCTTTTTCTTTTTTTTTGTTACTTCAAATGTTGCATGTAAATGTTCATCACTTCTTTTTTTTTCATTTTTCGAACAAACTTTTGATGTTATCCGACTGTAAATAAGAAGGAATTGTATGTTGGTGAAATGTACAAGAATAACAAAGTATTAAAATTCGGTGAATAATTAACAACAGAAAAAATAAAGCCAGTTTGTCTGAAGTTCTTTTTTTTCTTTCTCATCTTCTCTGTATGCACGTTTTTTCAGAAAAGAGACTGCAAGTTTTTTAATGAAACTTATTTATTATATTTGTGTATATTCTTTAGAATAAGTTTCACTCATTATCGAATGATTAAATGGTATAACAGTGTTTTCATTACATAGTTAGTTTATTTCTTAATTTCAAAAACTCCACCTGGAGCCCCACTGGGGCTATTACCGGTTCCAAATCCGGATAAAGGAAGAGGGTTGGGAATAGGATTACCAAACCAAACCCGTAGAAAACTAACTCGCTATAGAAACGATAACCAGAAAAAATAATTTAATTTCAAAAGTAATGAAAGTTTGTTTTAATTATTGTTTTACTGAAACTTAGTTTTTTTAAAAAAAGATTACTGGTTTTTAAATTACAAATTAATCAGAAAGTTCAAAAAATTAAAAAGAAAATGAAAGAAAAATATTAACGATAAAGTATTTAGGATTATTTTCCATGGATATAACTTTCGTGTTCAGATACTTAAGATACTTTAGAAGAATTGTAACTGAATTAGACTGAATTGAAATAGCTAAAAAATCTAACATGAATTCAGTAGTATATTAGCTAAACGACAAAATTCTACCAATAATGAGTTAGTTTTAAATGAATTTGAATGATATTTCATTTCAGTTTCCCATTATGTAAAATTAACATTTAACTATAAATTTAATGTACTTAGATGACGAAGATAATCAGAACTATGCCATATATTAGCGCAATAAGTTTTGAACTATCTGATCACACATATACTCTTATAATTATCCTTATCTCCTCTTACCCATTTCCAGTATAGTTGACCTTTTATTTGTATATATAAATGCTCTTAACACGTATATGTATGATCAGATTGTTCGAAATGTATTGCGCTAATATATCACATAGTTCTGATAATCTTCGTCTTATTACTTTAACGAAATTTATCAAAGGGACTGATTGCTTTAATGTTTTGGTGTTTTATAAACGTACGATTTATCATTAGATTTTATAATAATAGTAATAATAATGTGAATATCTTAATTAATGAGATTTACAAACATCTTCCTAGAAACTATATATCGAATTCAAATTTTAAAAAAAAACGTTTACATGAATAGTTTATTTTTACTGATTCTCATGATCAGTAAGAAAATTTTCTGGTTACTATTATTATTTTCAACTTAACAACTAAATACATACTCTTTAAACTTAGAGTAGGATGACAAAATATGTAAAATTTCAGAAATAGAAAAGATGCGATAAACATTTATAAAAAGTATTTTACATATTTGACTATTTAGTCAAGATATTTAAGGATTTCATTTAATATTAGTTTAATATGCAGTTTGTGGTGATCGGTAGAACTCGATCAGCTCTAGAAAAAAACTGAGTAATTAATTATTTGTGGAATTCTAAGTATTACAAGAAATCAATCACGTCCTGAATAACTCAGCAGTGAATCGTATGACTATGGAGCTTGGTGTCAAGAGATCAAATTCATTAGGGAGACGTCGGTTCTGTTAAGATTACAGAAGTGTTTTGATGATGAATGCTAGATATCATGAAATCTTTGTCCAGTTTGGATTTTTCAATGACTATCTTCAACTAATATAGATAAAACATCTTAGAGAAATACTAATGAACATCAAACAATAATATTTGTGAAACTGCAATTTTGATTTTAAACTGACTTAATAATTATGTTCTGTTTCTGTTTAAAAAATATTTTATAATTAACAAATGATTGACGTTTTTGTCTTACTTAAAACTCTTATGAAGTGTTCTAAGTAGAAAACGTAAAATGCAGTGATTTTTCATAAAATGAAATAGATTTGTACATATTTTTTTGATAATCCTTATTATGTACTATACATATTATTATTGAAGTAATGGAAGTATCTCGATCGTGTAAAGTAACTGTAATGAATGTGTATTGTTGAAATTTTATAAACATAATAAACGTATACCATCCTCATATGTAAATTATATTGTTATAAACATTACATCTAATGCTAACTTTCTTCTAATTCCTTTACAGTCATTGAGGCATATTCATTCTTACTCATAAGGAAATCAAGTTTATCATGTCATGATTGAAATAAAGTGAATATTTAAGGTTTTCAGAAAACAGTTCCTATTGAATTGATAGGGTGTCTAGATGAATGAGCAAGTTAATTATTCATACATATTCAACAATTAATGAATTTCAATAGTTGAAATCATGAGTCAATTGAAACTAGACCATCATGGGAAACCTGGAAGCACTGGACGGCCGTTTCGTCCTAGTATGAAACTTTTCAGTAGTGCGCATCTACGATCCCGCTCCCCGCGAGATTCGAATCCAAGACCTATCAGTCTCGCGCGCTAGCGCTTAACCATTAGACCATTGAGCCAGCCGGCATTCAACGGTGTTAATGTCTAACTTCAACCAGTTCACGAAGTTGCACCACCGTCAACATTGTCTTCAGTGAGCTGATATCTCACAACAGACCTGGCTGAATTCCACTGGTCACGGCTCCCCACTAGAACTCCATGAGTGTCTTTTGAAGTCAGTCACTAGTGTGCTGGTGATTATTATCAGAACTGAGTAAATGATTAATTAAGATTACACAGACATAAAAAAAGTATCCTAATGATTTCATCAGAAAGTATGTTACACGAGAAACTAAAAGTTTACTTAGTTACAAATATAAACTAAATAAATTTACTTTACAATTTAGGGTTGAAATTATTAATTTATACATTCTATTTTATTATTGGTTAAATAATAAGATTCATTCTAAGAATTTGAAATAATCTATCCTTTAAATATCTCTAGCTATACTTACCTGCTTTAATTTATTGTCCCTGCTCATATATATTTTTTCAAATAGTATATTGACAAAATAATATTAGCATTATTATTAAAGGGATGTATACTATTAACCAATACTATCTCGTTAAAAATAAAATTTACTTATTGTGAATAAAGGTGAAAAATATCTAGGGGAAATTATTATTCTTATAGCTTATTAACGGGATTGGTTAAAATGAAAATAAATCAAACGTATGACTTCCAAATCATAAGTCTCTCATAGGTTTAAGAACAATATAAATATCCACACGATAAGTAGATAATAAACGTGATAAACTCTTAGTTACAATTTATAAAGTGAATATTTAAAATTTCCCAAAAGGTAAATATACATATTTTCTATTTCATCCTCTTATTCTATTTTATTTGTAGGATAATGATTACATACATTTTCATTTGTGCATTATTATCACCTACCATTATGAGTTCTTCTAAATTTAATACAGTTGGATTATTATATCCTAACGTTTCAAAACCAGAAGGCACAAAAATCTACCAAAGTATTTCATCTGACAAAGGTTATGTGATAAAAACAATAACCAGTGCACCACTATATCGAATTGTTAGTTATTTCACTAATCGCACGGAAGAAAGTGAAGCAAAAGTACATGACTTACAAATTCCTTACTCAATGTATTATACACATATATATCTTGCTTGGAAATCTGCTGATCAATTGTTATCCTCTGTAAGTATTTTTATTTTCTTCGTCCGTCTTTAATATATATATATATATATATATATATATATATATATATATATATGCCAGAGAGTTGTACTGAGATGCATAAAAAAATATCTCCAATGTTCTTTACTCATTTTAACCGCTTGTATGCTGTTGAACATAAGTGATTATTTTACAATAGTCATTGAAATATTCTGATATATGCTCACCTCATGGTTATTATCATATTTTTTTGACTTTTTTTTCTTAGATAACTCTACAATCCGATAATTCAGAAAGTAAATTGAATGGTGCTAATTTAGTTTTATCAACCTCTAAACTAGGTGATATGTATGCACCTGGTATGATAACATCAGTTCTTGACTTTGTTACAAAATGTTATGAATGGGCTAAACCAAATAATCGACGAATACCATCTAGTTCAGCATATGTATCAACACTTAGAGTTGCATCAAAAGATGAAATTAATCGAGCATTAATTAAATATACAGTAGAACAATTTTTAAGAGCAACAACTTATGGGTCATATCATTTTGTTTGGGAAACGAATTCAAAAATGGTAAGTCAAATATAATTTAAATATTTTAAAATAAAACTATTTTATAAAATGAATAAAATAACAAACAAACAAACCAAAAATATATGTTGAGAGTATAAGATAAAGTACATAAACTTTGACATTTTTATTTGGTTGATTTTATATGGAAAAAAAGTACTTCTAATATTACATGAATTCAAATGAATGAAGGTAACTAATGTAACCATATCTAAAATAACCCATTACATCATTGAATAAGAAAAGGAGAATTCAACGAAGAAAATTGTTTTCCCGACGAAATCATTTCTATCCTTCAATAGGCATATATTTTCCATATAAGTATACATATGCCTATATAGCTTAAGTAAATGATTTTTTTGAAAAGAAAATTTTGATGAAACTATAATTCATGTGCGATCCTTGAGTAATGCTAAACTGAATTTGAGAAAGCCCACCTAATAACTAGAACCAAATGAAGGTTATAAACCAATGTGAGGAATAAGAATGATGACTTACATTTAATGGTTAAGGTTAAGAATTAGATTCCAGGTTTTCATCACGAACTGATATCAGCTATAATGTCGAAACTCTATTTAGCTAGATGGATGAGTGAATTTTGCTCTAAAATCTGAGATCTGTTATCTTATACCTGATTAGATCGTCTATAAATTATAGTTTCACCAAAATTTTCTTCATTAAATTCTACTTTTCGTAAACATTTCGTATTATTCTTCTTTAAAATGTCATTACGGAGTATATTCAATAGAATTTAGATGTGTATCTAGTTCATTACATATAACTGATCATTCAAAGTGGTAGAATGTAATGTTATAATTGATAAATTTATTTATGCTAGAAATGAATTATATTGTATTCGTAATTAAAAAGACCAATATCTTCAATTGCATCATTTAAAAACAATATAGAATAATACTACTAACAACAAACTAGTACTCAAATATGTCTAATAGAATAACATCAATCAATGGGAATTTATTATAAAGTAAAATCTTTCTGCTTAAAACTATATTAACTTTAACATGTTACTTATTGAATTCATTTTTTTTAATTTTAGAAAGAATTTATGAAAGAATTAAATTATGAACAAATTACATGTGGTGGTAATTATTCATTTTATAATCCATGTGATTGGACATTGATGGGTTTAAAACCAGAAATAGCTAAAGAACAATGCCTATATCGACTTATTAATAATAAATCCAATATTTATTAATTACATTATTATTATTTATCAGTTTTTTTTCTCTTAGAACAAATCAAAACTTTCACATCAGGGAAATAAAAGTATCTAATTGAAATGAACAATTGTAAAAATGATCAAAATCAATACTTCAGAGTATGACTATACGAACATATATATATCTACTGACAATATTAACCCTAACACAATAAATCACTGTTTATGCCTTCTCACACTACAGATTTTTTTCTTCTCTTACATGTTGAGTTCATTACATCATCAATAAACAATAATTATGTTTGTTTGTTTTTTTCTTCAGTCAACTTGTTTTTTCACTTTATTGTTAAACTTATGCATGTTTATGTTGTTGTTAGTTTTTTTCTCTCTCTCCCTCTCCCTCTTGCTCTCTCTCTCTCTCGCCGAAACTTCCGATTACCTTTTGCTTGTTATGAACATTATTTAAAGTATTTAAGTAAATATCTTGTTCATTTATTTATGTCAAGTTACATAATTATTAACACTATTTTTAAACTCACTTTTTTTCCAACTATTCGACAATGTTGGATAATAATTAAAATCAATATGGTCAGTATCTATGCGTTTTATTTTTTTCACACTAAGTATATTTTATAATTAGTTACAAAATAAATAAATGTTCATTAGTCTCATAAGCTTTGCTATAGACAAATTGATAGGAAATAAGCATAGGTTTAATGAAATGTAACCGTTCTCTTTTTAATATAATGATATCAATAGTTGAAATTATGAGTCAGTTGAAGCTAGACCGCCATGAAAACCTGAAAGCACTGGACAACCGTTTCGTTCTAGTATAGATTGAGACTGATAGGTCCTGGGTTCGAATCTCACACGAGGCAGGATAGTAGATGCGCACTGCTGATTTAAACTATTGAAATTACTAAAATCTTCACAAAACCCCTTCTGACAATGATATCAGTTTTAACTACTGATAAAGTTTATTAATTTTTGTTTGTACATCGTTTGTAGATATTTTAATTTGATAATTTTGTTGTTGTTGTTCTTGTGAGAAATATGAAATATGCAAAAGCAAATTAGAATGGTTTATGCTTACATTATAAAAATGAATGAACATATAGACATTAATATAACTGATAAAGTTGAATGGTTACTTGAAGAGTAAACGTTCATACAAAACGAGTATTTTTGTTAGATAACTGGCATTTTAATGCTTTGTTTCGATAATGTTGAAAAACTGAACAAAGAATGATTTGAGTTGATGGTTTTGAAGTCTACGAATAGTTATTGGATAGATTTAAATATACCATGTTTTATTGCTTATTGAAACTAAAGTATATTCTTATACTAAAGATATTGAAAATATTAGATCTGAAAATAATCAAGTACTTCTAGGTATTTCAAGAAATTTTATAGTCAGTTGTTTGATAGTTTATTTTAATACTTAAAATACTTAGATCATCTTTAAACCTAATTTATAAATGACTGATGATTTCATGAGATGTTAAAGGCTATAGTTCATTTTAAATAGTTTAGTCTGAATAATTGATTCAACTAATCAATCCTTTTAGGACAAACGAAGAATCTAATTAATACATAGTCATAGATTTACTGATAAGTTGTTAATGCGTAATACGTGAAATGAGAGTGTTTGAGTTCTTTATCCTTCCTGTTATTTCTACATAGCAAGAAATATAATCTTTTATAGTACTATCAGTATAATTTGTGCATTTCTAGTCAAAGTCAGGTTTAAGAACTGTTGAACTTGCACATTAGCGAACATTCAGCAAAACGGTAACATTTTTTTCATTCTGACTGACGCTGTTATTATGAAAGAGATATTAGTCATTCTTAACAATAGATGCTATTTTTCATGTATGTTTGAGTAAATCGTGAATATATGTCCAATGTTTTTTCTCGAACATAATGAACTATTATTAAGTTGAATATTTAGCACATAAGATTTAAACTCTGTAATTTAAAATTACCATACTTTTTTCAAGGATTAAAATCAGGAATTAAATCCTATCCGAGATTGTGAAACCAAATTATTATTGTTATACTACGTATTATTTAGTCTATTTAAGATTTACCATAAGTAAGGCTTTAATAGTCAGTATTAAAAATGATGATCAAATGACTGACAATGTTGAAGTAAAATAATGGGAATTAGAAAAAAATGTCAAAAAAGAGTTTCATCAGAATTAGTAAGTTGAATGTTTTTTATAAACATGATGAAAATAATGAAGAACATGACAAAGTACAACGAAATGGAAGTGACAATGGAAATTATTTCAAAGATTTAATTAATTATAACAATTATTTTGGTTATTATTTCATAGTAAATAGTATAGAAGAAAAGAATTTCTAAGAAAATATTACAGTTTTTCAACGCAGGAAAATTTTCTCTCAAATAGAAACAAGGTATACCAATATAAGTGAGTGTTCATAAATTAGGCATACATGAAAAAAGAAGATATTAAACATAGAAAACATGTCAATGAATAGTGAAATTTATATTAAACACATTAGTTGAAACTAAAATCTGATAAAATCCCATAAACCAGTTATGCTATTAACCCTAAAATATTCATCAAAGTTGGCTTAGCGAACTAGATTTATTACAGGAACTTACTTTGAATTTTAAATATGAATTATTCTCTCTGTTTCTTTAAGGTGATTATGATACATATAATTGGACCATTTATTATATGAATGATTCTTCAGTGCTGTAACCAGTTTCCTTTAAGTACCAGATAATCTTTAATTAGGTCAGACATGAACACCGTTGGATGCCGGCCCAGTGGTCTAGAGGTTCAGCATTCGTGCGTGAGACTGAAGGCCCTGGGTCGGAATCCCACGAGTGAGATCGTTGATGCGCACTGCTGAAAAGTCCCACAGTAAGATGAAACGGTTGTCCAGTGCTTACAGGTTTCCAATGGTGGTCTAACATCAATCGGTTCATGATCTCAATCACAATCCTTAAATAAAAATAATTTTAAAAATAACACATTGAGTTGATGTTTAAAATGCGTGCTTTGATTATGGTTGTTTAATGGTTAGTATATAATATTTAATATCATCTAGATGTTTCGTTGCGTTTTCATCAGTTTTTTTACATTGATAAGTACTGCTATTTTTTTTAGGAAAATGAAGTAATGAAAATTATGATAAGATATGATCTTGTTAAATGATCTATGGAACTAAAGTGAAATAAATATTTGTTTGATCATGAAAATTCATTTTGGATGCTTGGATCTATTTCGTTTGTTAGATTCGATAATTTCATGTAAAAATTTATTTTATTACTTCAGCTGTCGTATGAGTGTAATTGTTATCTAACTTGAAATATCCTATAAACCAAAGAAATGTTAAATCTTAAAACGGATAAATTAAATTGAATTAGATGGATTTCTTCCATCTTCTTCAAAATTTGACGATTCGGAGTTTAAAGGTGATCAGTCGAAGTATGAAAACGTCGTTTAACCTTCAGTAGTTATATATAATACTGATCTCTTGTTGATGATGGTTTTTTCATACTGAATGTTTTGATTATGGAGCTGTCGTTATCATTCTAAATAAAATCATCAGTGTCTGCTTCACATTAACGTATCTGAATGATATGGAGTCATGTTAAATATTACCCACTAAGTACTAAATTTTATTCAGAAGGATGATTTGCCGAAATGGGAATTATTTTGGAGTTACTGTTTACTACCAATCAAAATCTATTGGAAAACTGTTAAATAACAATGTCACTAGACAAATATTATTTTTCCGGTTTCTACCGCATTTTAGTAATGAATTATGTCTTGATTTAGTTTAGAATTTTGAATTTTTCGGACACGTATCAGTCTCAATATTCTTGTCCTACATAACGAAGAACGCATTTCAACTTCAGTGAGTTCGTAATATTGTGGAACTATGAACAATACAATTAATTATTGCTGTTTGATATTTCACCTACTGTCCGTCAAGGATATTCTCCATCGTTACAGTTACTTCCCACAGTTATATAGTTTTTATGTAATAATTTTTTTATTAACTCAACAGAGTAAATTACAATTTAATTTGTTGAGTGTCAACATATTAATTAGGATTATACAAAGACCAATTCGTTAACGATATTAAAAATTAGATAGCTTGTTTTTTTCTTGAAAGATATTTAACTACTTATATACTCTAGTAGTCTTTCTTGTATTTGAAAAACTTTTTTACTTGTTCAGTTTCAATGGGAGATGTGATCCTTCTAACTTAGCAAAAGAGCTAATGCTGGATTCTTCCAAAATTTAACATACTTATTCAAGTAAACTTGGATGCATTCTTAGTAAAAGCGAATTCAGTAAAATTGTGTGTGAAACAATCATATTTCACGAATTCATATTTGATAAGTCCACAATTTTGTTATTTCAACAGATTTTCTCATATATTGTGCACTTTTTGATGGTTAAATTTTTTCTTGAAGGACTATTAATTTACGCTGAGTAAATTTTCTTAAATTTTCACGAACTAATAGACATGCTTTTAAGAATTTACTTCCACAGAGACCGTCGCAAGTTGAATAATAGGTGACATTTTTTCGAGTTTCAGTTGAAGCGTCCGTTATTATGTTATGCCCATATACCTTATTCTAGGTTTCAAACAGCCCATTCTATTCATTCTACTTGAGTCACATTCTGACCTTGTTATTTATTCGCTTACCAATCTTGACTGTTTTTATATGAGCGCGTAGGTGTGTATACATTTCTTATCCCATTACTCATCACATGTCTGTAACTTACTTTTGTGTAACTATAAATATTGATTAACGCTTGGTTAAATGGGAGTTGGCTTACAACCCACTGTGCGTCGTTTCTCTTCTCTCTAATCCATTCGCTTTATATACAAAATATGTGTATTCACAAGTCTATCCTCGTTATTCGACTTATATAATTCCGTTATTGACTAACGCGATTTAAGTCGAGGAATATATACGAGGATAGACGATATCATACATTCGTACGATCTAATTGGAGTCAGATCCACAGGCCACTAAACAG